ATTTATTTTATTCAGTCCACTTAAGCTCTTTATATTATAATATAGTGTTCCTTAAAATGTCATTAAATATTTTAAAACCCAGCGTTTAGTTTGCGCGTACGGTATTTCTAAATAAATTAACGTTTAAATAGGCATAATTGGTTCGGTTTATGAGTTTATTACAATATACGTAAAACTATTATTCTGCAAACAAATACCAGCAGCGGCTTATGGATACAAACAATAGTTAAACAATTTTATAATTTTATAATTTTTAAATAAACGCGATAATTTATTTTTTGATTAAATCATTAGTAAATAATACAATATTATGTGTTTAAACGAATTAATCGTTTTCATAAAATGTCTATTCTCCGCATACAAATAAATTTTACGAGTATACTATATGTTAGTTTTGAAAATCCGGGTTTAGAAGTTTACAATTTTATTACTTTTTTTAATGTATAACTTATTAATATTAATTTATTATTTCACCGATAGGATTAAAGACTTCATTTTAATTATATTATATTTTTATGTTTAAAATATTTTTTGATATCTAATAGAAAAATAAATAATATAATTTAAAATATAATTAAAATTTATAAATTGCATTCGTTAAAACAATTTTATTTTTTTGATAGAGCAATTCTTAAAAAAAAAAGGAAAAAATGAGTTTATCTATTGCTGTATAATGGTCAATTTATTAACTCCCTATTTATAATTCAACCGGATTCCCGTCTATGCTATGCAAGTACAAAAAAATATCTAATATAGATAGATTTGAACGTAATCCGGGCCCGGCGACCCAGAGAACCCTAATCAAGTGTATCTAAATATAACATAAGAACACCACTGTAAAGCCATTCTCCATGTCTAACATTGACTGAAAATCATCGTTAAGTTTTGATTTATCATTTATCATTTATATTTAATTCTAACCATTTTAATGTGTATTTGAATAATATCTCGTGCACTAATAATTTAATCTCGAATTTAATCCACACTGAATCTTTATGGAAACATCTTGGTCAAGTTGATTTGGCAATGTTTGCCAACAATACATTCAGATAATAGATCCCGTAAAATGTTCCTTGATATATTCATCAGTCACAAATTGGGAATTTTCATTCACCTTATATTCATCCTCCCAGTATTTTTATTGGTGATAAGTGATTTTTTTTATTACTACTAAAAATCCCTTCCATTTGAATATTTGGGAGCTTAATTATGTCTCAATATAAAAAAAAAACTATTTTTTTTTTGGTCTAGCACATCAAATATTATATTTAATATTTACTGGATATAATTTATATCACGGTTGGATAACTGGTCCTCGAGCCTTTTTTATTTGGCCCGTGCTATATTTTCAAATTATATCATACAGTTTTAATGTTTATCTTATGTTGTCTGGTATTAAACATCGTTAAATATCTAAATATCATATATAGTATGTATGCATATAATTTTCAACCATAGTTGTTTGTACCTAACTATTTAACTATATCAGTTTCTTCATATCGTACGTGTCGTGCTGTCGTGTATGTTCAATTTATTATTTTCGTGTATATAAACAATAAGTAAAATGCTTATCTTGAATCATTTTTTTTTTTTTGTTTTCCATGCTCTGGACCGCTAGATTTTAATTTTTAGCCTTCTAGTAACTTTGAATGGTCAATCCCTGATTTATATGAAAATTATTTTCAGAAAATATATCCTGCACAATATTCAACTCCCTACAGTTACGGCCTTAAGCGATACTAAGGTACCCAATGTAAACGAACACAAATACATACCAATAATAGGTGAAACTTGAAGGGCATTTGGTTATCCCTTTTTTGTGCATTTTATTGGAGTGTTTGTGTGTGTCATAAAATATTTATAACACGAACAATACCGCAACGTGTAATATTCTTATCGCTAGATTTTTTTTTCGTGTCGAGATAGGATTTAAATTTTTTAATTTCGCTATTAAATGTCGATTGTATGTTTCCCTCAGAATTTCAACCCAGCAGTTTCGTTTGCTTACGTACACGCCATAAACCACTCGATTTAAAAACGTTTAAATATGCTGAATACTATGTAAACTCGTGACACGATCGATATATCCCGTAGCCACTATAAATTACTGCAGTAAAATAAAAAATAAAATATATTTAAACCGTTCTGCTATAATCGTTCTGGCGGAAGCCTGTCAGAGAAATGATAATATTATAATGCCTAAAAGTATTATACATAATTTAAGCTCTGTGATATAGCGTGGTCGGCTCGGTCTCGCAACGGCTCTAAGTACCCTCCTAGCTTTTCCCCTTGTCGATGGAGGCGATCATTAAACATTTTACGTTTTACAATAATAAAAATAATTTGTAATAATATAACTAAAATTTTTCCGTCGGTATTCTGTGCCAGCAAAAAGGCCCATGCCTTTGGAATATTATTTTATTTAATTTCACCCATGGAATCGATATTTTCTGTAAAAAATGTTAAATTACCATATCATACGCATGGGTGGCTTTAATTTTAAATACATTGTAGAATGAGTATAATTTGGCTAGCGTAGAATGTTGTATAATATATTTAAAAACTTTTAATATTATAATAACTTTGCAATAGGATATGACTTCATTTTTACAGTTTCCGTAATATAATTGTAAAAAAACAATCATAGGGAAACTAAAATATTTCATTTTTATAATATTTACTACATTGTTCAAAAATTGACTTACTCTGAAACGAAAAAATAAGCACTATTTTGTTTTTTTTTTTTTCATTAAATCATCAAAATTATACTCCCGAATCATGGTAACCTGTGTACATTAATATACAAAATATAATTTTATGCAAATACGACTATTTATTGATCGTTTTTTTTTTTTTATTTTATTTTTTTTTTTTTTGTCGGAATCTTTATTTTAGAAAAATTTTAAATTATTTTTAAATAAGATTAATAAAAAAAAACATGGAATTTAGTTGTAAAACATCTTGGCGCTTTTTTGTGATGCTCAAACGGGCTAAGTGAACTTTTGTTTTTTTTTTGTGATTTCTTCAAAACAACTACGTAGAATATAATTTGAATTTTTGTTGACCTAAATAACACTTTGAAAAATTTAAGTTATTTTTATTTACTCAATTTAAAGGATTAAAAAAAAAATACATTAAAAGTATTTTTAAAAAGAAAACATCGTTATTAATCAAGAGACCTTGATAATCATTATTAATCATTAAGTACTCGATGTTTTTAGTCATCGCCTCGAGTGTTGTGCAATATAAATATTGAATTTCCAATAATAATTATTTTCTGCTCGAAAAAAAATAAAGTGTAAAATCAACGTCAGATGGGATTTTTTTTTTTTAAATCGACATTAAATTATCACAAAAAAAGTAAGACCACTTTATCTCTTTACTAAAGGGTTTAAAGCTAACATTATAAGCTCGGAGTTTATAATTTAAAATTATCGAATCCCGGCGGATATAAGTCAAGGCCCGAGGGCACTTCTAGGCAATTTGACCATTTCAGTGAATTTTATTAACCGAATACAAATTAAAGGGGAATTTTCATATATACGCTTTTTGAATACTATATCAACATAATACAAACTGATCAAAAGCATGATAGAATTCTAGTCATTTTTTTTTTACTGATCTTAAAAAACGTTCACTATGTAGTCTCGTTAGTTTCTATAATAACGTTTGTTTATACTAAGTTGGGTAATAATTTCATTATTATTACAATTACTTTCTTCTTATTTATTTTTTACTTTTCTGTAGCATCGTTTTTTATTTTATTTTATTTTTTTGGGACATTTAGCTTTTGAAATAAACTGTTAAGTTATATTTAATGTTCATAAAATAATTTTTTATTTAATTGAAACCATTTGCACGGTTTAGAGTTTGGACACAATAGTAGCAGACTAGATAATCCGATGACTCCGAATTCCCGTTATAACAATTAACTATTTTGTAAATATTATGGGTATTACTGCTGAGGTAATTTTATTATAATTTTAATTCCACTCGTACGGTACGTAAATAGGAGCAGTATAGGTACTTATTTTATCAATTAACAGTATCCTCTTACCAATTATATGATATGATCGATACGTAGACAATATTTTTACCACTGGTAAGTATTATCACAATATATTTTAGTAAAGTAGATACGGTCATTCAAACTTTTTAAACCTTTGAACTCCCGTTGATCGTTTACATAAATGTTATTTATCACGATGAAATATTTTTACTTTGTGTTATTATATTTTTTTTCTCTTTTTTGGTGAGAGCTCTCACTTGCATAATATATTTTAACGTGAAGGACGAAATAATGTGATTTTCAACAATTTAATACTTGATATTTATGAAAATACTATAAATCTGGTCTTTGGGTGTACTCCTAAAGAACAAATATATAGTACATTAATTAAATAGTTATTAATCTAAATAATATAACAAAATAATTGAGATGCAATAGGTTCAAATTAACGAGATTACCTTTTCCCGTCGAAGGAGATGATGCATAATAATACGGTCGATCCGTCTTTCGTGTACATTAAAAGCTGTTTTTGTAATAATTGGAAACGGTTTAAAATCGTATTCCTCCTCCCCCGCATTATGTATTGTGTAATTGCTGGTAAATTAGTAATAACACGCAAATATGTAGTACGGTCAACATGAATTACAAAGAAAGATCACCCGGATAGAAAATTTAATATATTCTAGAAAACAACTTGAGTGGATCGAAAATGCAATATAAATAGTGAATTTCTAAACCCATTGATTATTGTTAACGTCGGAAAGTTACGCGAACGTATACATGTAGATATTGTCGGTTTGAAATAATAATACTAATAATAAATTCGGAGCTTGTATCGCGCGAAAAGCTTTGAATAATAGCTCAAATAATCACCACGACGGTCCTTGAAAACGTAAATTAATGACAGTGAAACCGAACGAAAAAAAAAATATATATGTTGTGTTCACCATTGAGTTAAACATCCGTTATATTATTTTTTGTCTGCCCACAGGACATCGTGCGGAACTACGGCGTGAACGGTATGTTCCGAGGGCTGACGATGACGGTGGCGCGCGAGATGCCCAGCTACTTCTGCTTCTTCGGCGTGTACGAGGCGGTCCGGGAGTCGCTGAAGCCGGTCGGCCGGAGCCGCGACGACTGTGGCCTGCTGGCCACCACGGCGGCGGGCGCGGCCGGTGGCATGCTGCTGTGGACCGTCACGTTCCCGGTGGACGTGGTCAAGTCGCGCATACAGCTAGACGACGCGATGCCGACCCGGGGCTGGACCGTGTGCATGATGCGCGTGTACCGGGCCGAGGGCATGTCCGCCCTGTACAGCGGCCTCGCGCCCACCCTGGTCCGGTGCGTGCCCTCGTCCGCCGTGCTGTTCATCGTCTACGAGTACACCAAGAAGCTGTTCGACCCGTAGACCGCGGCCACGGCCCTGTTGGCGCACCGACAGGATGACGGTTTGACCGGGTCGGAGGGACTGCGACGGGTTGGTTCCGACCCCGCGCAACCCGGTTGTGACGTCCACGCGAACCGACCGAACGCCCGCGTTTTCCCGATCACGTCCGACAACGATGCGCGTGACGGACCGCTACACCGATTCTTGTCGTCCCACGCGTTTCCCGGAAACGTCGACGCTTTACCGCACCGCATCGGTGGCGCATTCCACATCGTTGATAATCCAATGAACACTAAAAATCTGCAAGAATCATAACGTGCACGAACCAACGTGCCACTGGCGTAACATCGTTGTATTATTACAGTTCATACATTGTAAAAATGTATATATTAATATTAGGGCTGTGAATTTAAAAAAAGGTTCAAAAACCTTATAAAATGCATTAAAAATTTCAAAAAAATTCAATAAAATATGCACTTAAAACGCAAAAAATTCAGTTAAATAGAAAAAAATTCAATATAAAATGCCAAAAATTATAGTATAAAATGATTTTTAATTTAATTTTTATATTTATATTAATATTAGGTACAGGATATTACACATTAGTACATTAAATGCATGTGTTTATTTTAAAAAAAAAAACAAATAAAGAAAATTTTGATCGAATTTGATTTTTCTATATGTAGGTACTATATTTTAATATTTATTCTGTTAAAATATTAAAAAAAAATTTTAATATGTTTATTTTCGGGTATGTTATTCAATCTTTGGTCTTAAGAATTGATCAAAAATACCAGAAAATTAACTAAAAAAGGAAAATATGACCTAAAAAATTAAAAATAAGAAAAATTGCAAAAATATGCAAAATTAAAGTTGCATAAATGGATTCGTAGTAACATAATTCAAATTATGTACTTACAAAGCTACGTTTTACAATCACCAAAAAAAAAAAAATAAATGCACTTTCCTACAAATTCTCAGCCCTAATTATTATTATACACTACCACCGATCAATGGACGAGTGGCTCGAATGAGCTTCGCAAATCGTTTACTTTAAACACAATGCGTAATCATATACCTAGTTGAAAACAATTTTTTAAGAAATCGACCTTATGTTTTTTAATTTTTGATGCAATTTTATAGTTCTGACGATTCGTACGTTTAGTTTTACCCGCTAGATCTTTTGTCAAGATACATAATACCTGTGTACAGCAATATCATAAGGTTGACATTTTCAAATTATATTATAGTATTGTACTTAATTGTACACTCTGATAATGAACAACTAATTGCCACGAAAAAAAAAAAAATAATGACAATCATCTGCTCTTATGTTATTATTTACGCGATTTCCTTTTTTTTTTTTTTTTTTTTTTTTTTCATTAAAACATTCCAGTCTTGTCCATTATTATTTACTTCTAACGATTGGAAGAAGACAAAAATCTATATTATAGTGAATGTGTACCCAATATTTCAACTATCTATATTTCACTATTGACGTATAATTTTTATGTTCAATTATTGTAATTTATACGGATATATTGGCACCTTAGGTATTATGTAAAAACTAAATACCTACTTTAATATTTTGAAAACTGCAAAACTTTTGTACTCGGCGTAAACGTATGTTATATATTACATTTATCTAAATTTGTATACTGTATAATACATCAACTATGTACGTAGTATTAAATTATCTGTGTATTGTATGATGAATAAATTCGAGTGACTCAATGTATTTTTATTTTTCCAATGCAAAATCATTGATTACTTTATGCTTTATATTTATACTAATATCTCAACATCTAATTAATTGTGAAAATATTATTAAAATAATATTTGTTTTCTCAACATTTAACTATGTAAGACCCTTGATTATTGTATATTATTATATTTATATATCTAAACAAACAACCTACTCCATATATATGAAACATTTATATGTTACTATTAACAATTAAACAACATAATATTGTTACTTTTTTAGAAACGAAAATACACACGTGTTTATTTATTGCGTATAATACCATACTACATTATCCATTGATTAAATTGGGGAGGACGAAGGATAACGGTATACCCATTATTATTTAAAGTTAATTAAGTTATTAAATTATTTAAGATTATGCGCCGTCTTTAATTTTAATTTTCAAAGTCTGGAAGGACGTTAGTAATAAACACAAAAAGCATAAAATATATTATTATATGAAATTTATTGAAAATTATACAAGTGAAAAAAAAATGAAGACTAAAAAGAAAAAATATGAATAATGATATAATAGATTGCGATATGTAAGAAATAAATATAAGATAATATTTTAGTAATCGTGGGTTAATTTAACAGGGTAATAAAGTAAACCCTTTTTTTTCATCATAAATAAGTTATTTTTATATTAAAACCAATTGGATTATGCTTTAGACTTTTAATTTCCTGAAAAAGTATTCAGAGTTTAAAATTAAGTACATTCTTAAAAACCATGTTATTTTTATTTATTAATTTGAAAATAATGTATAATTTTGTATACTTTTGGTACCCACAACAAAATAATTTTATTTATCAGTACCTAATAATTTATTTATATTTATAGAAAATCTATTGGCTATTTCCTGTGTTCAATAATATTTATGTTTTTAATTATTTTCAACTATGTTACAAGGTGTTAATTAAGACATCAATAAATAAATAACTTAAGTTAATAAGTTAATTGAAAATGTTCATATAAATTTTAACTTAACAGAGTTAAAAAAAAATTAGGTTAACTGTTAACATTAAACCTTTTAAATTGTGTTCCATCAACTTAACTCAGTTAAAAGTTATCATTAACTTGCCCAGGCTTTTGCTCAAGTACATATTTACTCAGAATAAGCAAATTTGAACTAAAGATTTTTAGGGCTTGGGACAAATTAATGCGGAGGCCCCTCAATCATCACAATAATATAAAAGTATGATAAAAAAATACACTTCAAGTTTCCAAAAAGGTTGGTAAATTTAGTTTTACAAACTTCAACCAATCGAGGTCATTTTAATGCATCAATAGTACAAATAACATTTTTAATAAATTATCAGTAATGTATTACCAATCACCACATTTAAAAAAATTAAATTTATTCCTATATCATTTTTAAATAACCATAGAAAATAAGAACTATGACACCTCGACTGGTACTGAATTGGTTTCCGAGCTCCAACCCTTCATTCCGAATTGGTTCTCATTTAAAAAAAGTATTTTATTAAATTGAGCTAAATTGGTTGCCTTTGGATTACGCGCATTTTCCTTCTCAATATTACAGGCTTAGGACTGTTAACTTTAAAGTAGGTTAAGTTAAAAATGTGTATTCATGCGTGTGAAAAAAATATATAATACATACAATTTATAGTCATTGATTTGGAAGTCAACTAGTCATCCCTTATTATAGGTGTATAAAATACGTACAATAAAATATAATAAATAAAATTTAAAATCGTTGATTTGTAAATTCGAAGCAAACTTTCTTCGAATATTCAATTTGCATAAGATTCTCATTCATGTACTCAGCGATATAGTTCTTCAAGTATTTATTATTTCTTTTCTGTTTGATTTCCTTGTATTATTACTTCAAAATTTAATACCATTAAATTTCTAAATACTGTTTAAAATCTCTATAAAATAAAATATATTAGTATAGGCACTTACAAATTGTGTTCAATAAAAAATTTAAGATAACTAGTATAAAGTTATCATGTGTAAAATAAAAAAATAAAAAATATTTAATAAAAACAACAAATGTATGTCAAGTGATCATAATATGTTTGTTACAATATTTTTAACAATATTTTTGTTAAATAATACAATAAAATAATTATTTCTGTTTTGTTTTAATTCTTTTTTCATCTGTATTTTTTTTATTTATTTTTTTTTTGCGACATAAAAAAACAAATGTATGAATTGAACAAATTTTATTTTTTTTTACAGACATATTTCAAATTATAATATATATATATAATATTCTCTAATTCCCGAAATATGCTAAAATATGTAAAATACATTTTTTCTATAAACTCAGTGACTAACAAGTTAAAACAATTTAAAAATATTAAATTAATTTTTGTAAACATTTTAGACCATAAATTGCAATTTATTTTAACCAACTAGAAATATTATGTTGTAAGATTGTTTTTTTTTCGGGAGGAGGAAATTTGTTTTTATTTTTACACCTTATAAATCTTTTTATAAACAAATATGTTTAAAAGAAAAAATGATAGAATTCTGGCCTTATGGGCTACCTAAAAAAATTTGGTAGGTCTTAGATTTTTGTAAAGGAACGCTCCTCAAATGTTGCTGATTATTGTCCCCCTCAACATTTTTACCTCTTTAACTACTAACATTATCATTATATTATTAAACAGAAAACCATGCACTATATTGGCTTATTTATTTTATAATACTTTATTAGTCCATACAGAACTTCGAGAGTTTACGACTGCGTGTAAATAAACTTACGTGGTGCAATACGTGTATACGACCGTTTGTATTGCGTTGTATTCTACAAATTGCATGGTAAAATCAATAACAAGTGTTTTTAATCCTGTAAGTAGTCTCGATTGATTAAGCTTCATAACATAATAATTATAAACCAACCAATAGACTGTCAGTTTTTAATGGAAACTGTGTGATTCTGAACGTCTGTAACGGTCTGTTATCATAATTGTCATAGTAGGTGCAATACAGTTCAAACCAGTAATGATAGTGATTAGCGAGAGACTTAAATTCCTTCTAAATATGCATATATCAATGAATCAACAGCTCGTTCTTTCTATTGATTTTTGACAGATCGAGAGTGAAAATTGATTGGAAACGTTTATTGATATTATCACCTAGGGGAGGAAGGGAATTCTTCTTGGACTTATAACGGTCCTCTGGTAAGTTTTGTCTATGCTCTAATTCTTATGAATAGGACATTACGATGTATTACATGCATCAGCATACAGTCAATATGCAACGTCGTTTCTCGATATATACGCTAACCGACTTTTGAAGCTTTAAATTTAATTCCATACAATTTGTTGATAAAAATCAAATCTAAAGGAAAATACCAAGAAATTATATTATAATGTATATGGTATGTTCGTTAACATTTAATGTTTTATACAGATATTTTCAGTATATTGCATAAACATCGTCTACATATATTAAAACTATAAGCAGTGGCGGCTATCCTAGAATATAGGTGCAGCGACAGTTACAGTGATTAAACACTCAGAGTAATTAAATTACATAGTAGATGGGTGGTGGGTGGGTACTTCTTACGCTTCGCTACATCTATATTTTTAAGGATAGCCGCCACTGGTTACAATTGTAATGTGATCATACCTGGTGAATCACTCTATATATAAATATAGAATACCAGGCAAGTTGGAAACGATCTGTAAACGATAATATAATATGATCAGTAATAGTGTACCTATAGTCAGTGGAGGTGCGTCAGAGGAAACTGAGATAGCGTCTCCCCAATAATTATAACAATGAAAAACAAAAGTTTTCAAATAATTTCATATTTTTGTACTTTAGGTTTAAAATTAAAATTAAATTGCAAATATGGGTTTATTTAAAACAAAAATTTTGGGTTGACTTTTTCCAAATCATTTGTTTAGTTAATTTAATTATAACAATAAAATTATAAAAACACGATTGTTATAAAATAAATCCTGTAATTTAAATTCTTTAATAGAAGATAAAAATTTAATAACATCTTACTCGTCATGTTTGCAGTAAAGAAATTTGATAGCTCCTCTCCACCAACATGCTTTGTCACATAACTGTAGTAAACAGTTTGATCATCATAAATAGAAGCTACTAAAGCATCAAACGATCTATTTTTATTTTGTTTACTATGGAAAACATCAAATCCTATAATCAACATGTTCTAAAAATATCAAGGTAATTACATACAACATATTAAATTTATAATTCAAATCTAATACTTTTTTGGAAATTTTAACCAACCATGAAGCACATCCAAGTTTACTGTTGATCTGTATAGCAATTTTTGTTACCACTGATAAATTAATATTTTGTGCATTCCTTAAAACAATACTTACTTATGATGGAACTAAAAATAAATATGCTCATGATAAAATGCGGCAAATTAATTTTATGTTAAGGAATATCATTTAGTCTAAAAAATGAGTATTGATTACTGAGAAAAAAAATTATATTGAAATCCTAATATAATAAAAATTACGCACCTTTAAATAATCAATGTATTTATTTTTGAATTTATTTTTATTTTTAATAACCTAATCTACTAATGATACAATATTTAATTTCATTTTATATTATAAATTATTTCTTAAAATATTATTTTAAATACCTATAGAATTAAAATGATAATGTATAATTAACCTTTATTATTACATGGCATGCTTCCGTGACATTTTGAATTGCACAAAATGCTAGATGATTTGCATTTATACATCGATATATCGATATATTGTATACTTTATCGGTAAGATAACTGACTTACTCGGTTACAAGTTAAAATAAAATATTATACTCTGGAAGTCCGACGCTTTATTATTATATAGAATGCTAATAAAAACTCTAAAGTCTATTTCATATATAACTTTTAACATTGTCCAATATTGACTGGTTAAGATTAACATTATCCGGATAGTGTTAATAATTCCTGCTTATAAACAAAAAATTATACATTAACCATAACAGATGGCTAATGTTGACATTAGTCGGATAATGTCGACATTATCCAAATGTTAACATTACCCGTAATATATATACTTAAAAATATTTATAATACTTGTACATACATATATTTTTAAAAAAGATTTGTTTGGAAATAAGATGAGGGTTGAAAACCAGCCACCAAGTCACCAAAAAAAAAAAAATTAAGTAAATAAATGATATGTACAATAGGTGTGAAATTAGGAGGGGTTCACCCCAATCAACACCGAAATATCAGAACATTTTTTATAAAAAAATGACTTGATCTACAATTGTATGTTATTCCAGAGTTTCAGTTTTTTCAGACTTGCAAATAAAATATATATCTCATATAATAATTAAAAATGTTATAAATGTATCAATATTTTACATTTACATTTCTTAAAATCCTCCATCCCAACATTTGTTCCTGATTTCGTTCCTGATTTACAATAATTAATATTATAAGAAATACATATTTTGTACTTCATATTCATGGTTAGAATAAAGATTGACTTTAATCAGGTGTAATACCGTAACTAAAAGAATGAAAAAATCTATACAGTCTAATTATCCATAGACCATGTAAATTTAATGAATTATCTAAAAAAAGAAAGTTGTGACAAAAAAAGAATATTTTTAATTAAATTGAAGTTGTACAAAGTTATTAAAGAAAAAAATTCAACTGAAATTATGATAAAATAAAGTGTGTATATACTGCTATAATATATTTCAATATATATTTTTTATGTATTTTAATAAATTGAAGCTCATTAATTTTAAATAATTTCTAATATTGATATATTTAGCATGACTTACCACATACTTTGAGTAAACCCAGTCAGAGTACATAATTTAGGAATTAGGTATATTACTCTAATAGTATCACTCTTATCGTGTACATTTTTTCTCTTTTTAGAAATTATTAGAGGCTGTCCAGCATTTTTAAGTTTAATGTTCGATTTCCAAAATTGAAAAATAAACTGCTTCTTTAGAAAAAATACTTAAATACGAGTACATATTATAACTGTTAAATAATAAGTCATAAATAATATACTTGGAAGTAATTATCTATATAGGAGATTTGAGTTCCATCTTTTTTTGGAAATGTGAACTTAATGGTTCATTTCTCATCAACATCATCAATTTTGTATGTTTAATTATTATAATTTGTAAGAACTGCAGTCCCGATTACAGCAGCTTTAAATTTATTCTAAGAATAAAAAAAAAAATTATAAATAATATTTTCTTATGTACACCAAAAATAGGTTACCAACTATTGTTCCCATAGTTAATATTCTACAAATAATAACCTATTACGAAAGTACCATGTTATATTTGATATTAAATATTTTTTTTATTGGAGCATGAAAGAAATATGGCACACCACACATCATTATTTTTTCTTACTTTATTATATGTAAATCAATGAAAATTTGGATTTGGAGAAAAATTAACAAAACATCATGGATTATGGATTGAAAAGAAAACAAATGAGTAGGTAAGTGTTAAATTACGTAAGAGAAAAGCGGGATATAATGGACACATATTAAGAAGGAAAACAAAATTAATAGGACTCTCATTTGAATAAAACACATTTATAAGGAATATTTTCGAGGAAAAGATCTTAAGGTACGGTGTCCAAGGCGCGGCTAATCGCCGCTACTGTCACAGCCACACTGTTTTTACGCGATTCCTATGGACTAGTTCCGATGAACGATTGCGGCTTTGCGACTATGAAATGGACGCTGCACGGCTCTACTCGATCGAAAGCAGGACACAATGACACTCGCCAGGGGCTTTTATATATTATACTATACTATATTATATTTTAAATACCATGGAAGAATCACAAAACTTTGCTGAAGTGGTATTTTTGCCTAATCAAGAGGAAATATTAATTGAAGTAGTACGTAATAATCCTACACTTTATGACTTGTCAAAATAAAGCCACAAAGACATAATTCTGTTGCTAGGTGGTTAATTAATCCAAACTCAACTAAGGATAATTAATAATTGAACTGTTGACGATTGACCAAAAAAAACTCGCGAAATTTTGTTTCATTATTTAATAAATATTTTTCAATTAAAATGTCAAAAAGACCTTCAGTCTGACTTCTGTCAACCTAATTGTTATTTTTTCTAAACAAATCTAAAATTAAGAATATATTAGGTACATATAAAATAATAAGTATAATCAAAAATAATATTTAAATATCACATACAAAATATTATAATCACTTTAGAGAAATATGCATACAAGGAAAAATATAATGACAAGTCTCAACTTATCAACTCTTAGAATAAATAAAGACCATTTTTAATTTATATAGACTTTAATGATTTTTGATAAAATTTCCATAATTACTTTAGTCACTGGATCATAGTAGTTTCTTCCAATTAATTTTAACTCTAAATGTCTAAGACAATTTTACAACAAAATGTTGTAAACTTTGATTTATGCATAATCACCAGGGTTCAGTAAATGTTACAGTTATAATAAATATTTATCCATTTGAACTACGTTTTGATGTCAGCTCAAATTTCTAAAAAATAATTTTATTATACATTAAACACAAATTATTTAAATTTATTCTTAACTCGAATTAACAAAGCTGTATTAATAATCAATCATATATATATTAATAATAATTTATAAATATTAAAAAGACTTACATCTCACTTATATTTTTTACTACTAAATAACATAGTGCCCTTAAATAAATAAGCTCCTAAAATATCATTGTGATTGCTTAACAGACCATGACAGAACCATGACTTTTTCTTCTTCGGGACTAAAATCAACACAATATTGATATAGGATCCGATTAGTATAAGTTTTAATTGGAAAATAATTTTATAACAATGACATTGGTTTTCCGATATATCCTGAGAAATAAGTAATCAGTAAATTATATTCTATTCAATATTTATATTTCTTTTTCATGATTTATTTATATAATATTGAATAATATATTAAATAACTATTTATGCACAGTGCAGCACTGTCAGTGCTTGGAATTTTCAAACAAATTGAGGAAAAACATTTTTTTATATTCATAAGTAGTTAATAATAAATTTTAAAATCTTTAAATTTATATTTTTTATAGTTATAACTAATGTTCAACTATTTTGAAATAATTTTTATACAATATAAATGTTTAGACAGATTAGGAAAAAATAAATATTATTATACATAAATATATTAAAATATAATGATAACTTTTTTTTTAAAATCAACAACCCCAATTACAGCTTTTATTATTCGTTATTTTACAATTAACTTAAAATTAATACAAAACTGAAACTAAGTACAATAAGTTTTTTAATTCATTATAATAGGTATACAATTCATGTATACAAGTTAATAATAAATAGGCCATATTTTTGTTTAAATCAAACCTTGTTTTCCAGTTTGACTTTTAGATTATTCAAGTCTTGGAGCCCTATAGTAGGGTATTTGAGGAGTAACTATTGGTTCCCGGCCCCGAATTACTCTACAACCAATTAGTGTTGGTTCACCTTCAAAACAGTAAATCAATATGTTAAAAAAATTAAAATAATTTTTTGTTTAATGTTTAAGCTTCTAACACATTTTCATTCAAATAAAATCATTTTTAAAAAAAGCAAAGGTATAAAATTCACTATAACTTAAGTAAAAAATCTAAAAACCAAGTATAATAGTAAATTGAAAATAATTTCACTAATAAGAAATTCAAGCTATTTTATTAGAAAATAATATATTACAATGTCTCATAGATTTATATATTACGGTTTAACACAGTAATTCCACATATTCTGAAATTTTTTGGTTGCATAAATGTTATTAATTTAATAGATTTTTATTAGCAAATCATAATATATGATATACATAAATAATTTAGTAAAATAAACATAAAATACTATTCAATACTGTTTTACACAACAAGCAGATAATTAATGTTATATAATATTTATCTGTATCTGTACCTGATCCCATTTCGGTGAATTTACTTGTTACTTGTTCAATCTAAAAATAAGGTTACATAAGTATAAATGTTTACTTATTAAGTTTAAAATTATAAATATATTTATTAATTCAGCAAATATTGAACTTAAAGAACTGACAGAAGGTTTTGATGGTTTTGGTCCAGGTACTCGTGGCACATTTGTATTTCCAGGCCGAGGTTGTCTAAGTCGAGATTCTGCAAATCCTTGTCGAGTTGATTATCCACGAGCTAAGCCTCTTCCTCTGCCTCTAGCTCTACTTATACTATCAGTTGGATCCATAGTAACTATTACTGTAAAACTAATATACGATTTTCAATAAAAAATCAAACAAAATATAGAAATACAATACTTCAAAATAAAAATAAAATGACTAAGTAATAAGTATAATAGTATAATTTTCTTCATAACATTTTAATTCCATAAATAACATTTATCATGCTAAAATGTTATTTACATTACATTTATGAATTATGCTATTCTAAAGTAGACTTAAGTAAAAATCATCTTATCAATAAGTTAGTATATCTATCACAAATACTTATTCTTGTTCATTGGTGTATTTAGTGTGCTTACTTGAGTCCATACTTACTTCAGTGTAGTTACCTACTTTGAAGATAATTCCAAAGTCAAGTGTTGAGCAACATACGTCAACCATTAATCTTTCTACATTTAATCTTCAATTTAATATTACTTTAGTCTAGAAACCAGGGTTTTTTTTTAATGATATTTTTTGACTGCACAAATTTATTCCCACTTCTAGATTTTAGTAGTTACTTTGAAGACTTTTTATTTGATTTATTTAACAATCTAAGTTGAAACTTCGTACGAGTGAATACAGCAAAATATATCTACTCAATACAATAATAATATTTATTGGTACTTTTATGTACATTTATTAAAAATGTAAAGAACTTGATTAATTAATTATAACTCAATATAAAATATCCATATACTCGGGTCTCAGACTTATTAGCTAGTATAGACCATAATATTATTATAAATTAATTCAGAAGATTGTTAACCAAATATATTATATACAAAATAAATGTACTTCCACGTTCAAAATTACAACGTTTGTGTACAAAAGCTGATTCACAATATTTATTTTTTTTTTTTTATACACCCCGTGTACAGAATCACGATTGTTAAAATTTATTGTATATAATAAAAGCTGACACTAGTCTTTCTCTCGCGTTTCGAAGTAAAAACAAATTCTGTACGCCGACCGCAATGAAGTTTTCTGAGGCGATTTTTAACAAGCGAAACTCGAGCCTTGTAGTGTTTTTTTTTATATATAAATATTATTTTTTTCTCCCAATAATAATAATGAAAATTAAATATCAAACATAAAAATACCCAGCTGTAATTCCTCACTACAAATAATATGGAATTTCTGTTTCTGGTTAAAAATTCGAAAACAGACTTATTACGCTGTAATAAATATCAAATATAACTGTTATACCTTTATACACGCATTTGGTGTTCAACACTACTGGATTTGTATAAATTGGTAGCATACGGTAACAGAAGTCCATTTAAGGGGGGAGGGCAAATGCCTCGGGTGCCAACATTTTTGAGGCACGTCTAAATTTGTTTTGTTTCTATGCCTAGTGACTAGTTATATTGTAAAAACACTATTTAAAATTAAATTGCTTAGTCCATTCTGAGTTCTGATACACTTAAGTTAATGAGAAAAAATGAAATTGAATGACTATAAAATTATTCATTTGATAATATTGATTGATTCTATGTAAAATAAATTTGTATAATCGTGAACACAATTTAAAATTTAAACTTATAATCTGACAGATTGTGACTTCGACGGAGTAAATAAATAAATAAATTAACAAATCGGTCTATCGTTCTGTTTCAGTCCCTAAAGCCGCATAAGTGCTATTTCTGATAAGACTGTATAGTGTAAAATCATTTGCTAACAAGATATAAGTTAAAGTTTCAATCAAGATAAGCTACTTCCATAATATTATACGAGTAGCTGTCGGGAAAATGTTTAAGCCTGGATTGAACAAAGAAAACGTATTATTACTGCTTTTTTTTTAATTTAGACTTATTTTAGACACTAAACTTTTATACAAATATAATTTTTCTATTTTATGGTTGTACATGTCAAGTAATAAATAAGTAATTAAAGATTTTACATTTTTTTTTTTTCTAAATTAAATCTATTTTTGAACCAGTGTTAGATGAAAAGAAATTATGAAATTTTTTTTCAGTTTCTAGATTTACCAAAGCTCTTAATTCTTAATTTTTTCTTGGGATAAAACTTAAATTATAATTTAATTTAAATGTCTAGTTCTGCCTACACTGAGAATGTTTTGATTCTAAAAGTATGAGCGAATATAATTTTTATGGTAATTATATAATACAATTTTTATTATAGCAAAAACATTTTTAATGGCAGAGGAAACAATGATAGTTTATAAGAAATTTAGTTCCCTAAGTTCCTTTTTTATAAATAAATTACAGTAAAATATATACATATTACTTATAAGATACAATAGAAAGTTTTTTTGATACTCAACCCAGCATTTGTTTTTAAATTGTTCAAATATTTCTATACCTAAAGAATTCTGTACCGTTTATGAACTAAACAGGATACTAAGCCTTAGATCTTCGTTTTTTTCCCTCGCCTAAAACTCATATGTCTCTCGAAATTTACTATTTGTATTTTCTTTCTTTCGAGTGCAATTATTTGTTCATATCAAATTCGCTTTGATAAGTCTCGGGATCAATTTCACTGTAAACTCTGTCCCCAGGTACGTCACCAATATGTACTTGAATCCAGTGGCGTACTAAACGGGGGAGGAATTTTTGGGAAGAATTAATGTCCTATGAAATGTATATTTTTAATCAATACAGCTGTATATTACTTTATGGGAGTATCTATCCGTATTTAAGTATTTCCAAGAAAATATTGTAGATAGGGACGTGCAATCATAAACGGACATGAATTTTTGGGAGGCTATAACAAAATTCAATGTAAAATTATCCACACAACCCTTCTCATGTACAAGTAAAACTTATTACTATTAAAATATAGATATGTTTAAATTGTATTAAAAAACCACTAAATAACACATATTTAAAAATAATTAATATTTTATTTTAATGACAAATATCTATTTATATCAGCAAAGATATTCAAAATATCATCGCTTTTTATATTTTTCGATATATCTTTATCAATATATAGTATTAAAAGATTGCTGAACCTATCTTAAACCAACGATTTCCTTAGCCAAATTTTTATTTTATCATTGCACTGAAACTTCTTTCGCAAGTAACCGAACTAATTGGTATTTTTAATGCTATTGTAAATAGTTTTTATTATTTCTTATTTTACGATTTTCAAAAAAACGATAAGATAATTATAAAAACAACGAATAACATTTCTAACAAAGTTTCGATTTTGAGGGAACTATTAAAATATTTGGGGGGCTAATCCCCTCTCGACGTCCACCTATACGTGCAATTATTACGATCCATTCAACACACCGTGCTTTTTATCTTGCATTTCACTCCAGTAGCTAAATATCATATCATTATTAACAACTTAATTTTAACTGGAACAGCCTCTCAAAAACGAATGCATTTTGTCTTACTATTTCTGGTTCAATTATATTTAATATTGAGTAAAAATTTTCTCTGGACATTTGTGTAAAATTTTTAAATAACATATCTTGCAAATTTCGTAAATCGTCTGTCATTACAAAATGTCGAGTTTTTTAATAATTAATGACCCACAAAGAACGCTTCTTCCTACGTTTTTTATTTGCGCTTGCAATAATTAAGTAGGCCGCACTAACACCGAGAGGTAAATGTGAATCTGACAAGTTTTTTGTTAACAATCTGGAAGACGACTGATTTGTAACGTCGCTAGAGAGAACAGAAAAAAGCATGCATCTATTTCATTCAATAAAAACATGCGTTAGATGAAAGTGGAATTGAACGTTGAAACGCAAGTTGAATTGAAAAGCGCATGAGTGTAAACATACCTATATTTCACCCATCAAACTAAGTGACGATCGGAACTAGTACGCGTTATTTTATTTATTTTTTTATTTCATAAATATATTAATAATAACAACGGATAAAAATGAATAATCTATTAAAGTTTACGACATGTCTTATTTGGTTCATGACCACCAAATTGTTTGTTTAAATATTAACTCCCCTCCCAAAAATGCATTTCTAAGTACGCCACTACTTGAATCACAATCACGGAAACCATAAAGATGGTTTCTTTTCTTTTCGTCCTTCTCGAAAGCGCAGCGAACCAAATACAACATACTTGTATTATGATTATTATTATAATTAGAGTAAATAATACACACATACATATATAGGGCGTATGAGGTCGTGAGTCGGACATAACGTCGTGTGTATATAACAGTGACAATAATAATTATATTCCGGGACGACTGCACTATACGCGTAAATTACAAAATAATACTATAAACCGTTATTTGCAACCCGGACGGTGTAGGGTGCAACGACCTCATTAGATTCGCGTGAACCGGGAGTAAGTCACGAGCGCTGCTGGTCGTTAAATAATGCGTCCAAGCGCGCAGACGAGCAGCCCAAAGGGATTTAGCCAAAAGCGCCCCGGAGATTAACAGGCAAGATGCTAATAATATACGTCTGATCGTAGCCCTCCGGATCGCGTGTCATTCGGCTAGTTACGACATCACTTATTTTTTCACAAATATATAATCGTGTACATATTATAATACGACTTAAGTAGGATGACTGTATGATAAAATATTGTCAAAGGTACAAGATGAAAAAAAAAATAAAAAATAAAAATAAAACACTCGTTGCGTCTAGCGATAAAATAAATAAATGGATAAATAATAATTATAATGCTTGATCAGAGGCAGATTACCCATTAAGCATTGTAGTCAACTGCCTAGGGCGGTTAAATTTGCAAAATTTGAGGGCGGCAAATTCTTAAAAAAAAAAAAACATCAAACGTATGAAAAAAAAAAATGGAAAATTAATTACTTTATATTTACGAAAAATAATTGTATAATAATGGGTGCATTTTATTAATATGTACCGTCGGAATTTTGGGGAAAAATAAATACCCACACTGTCACACTATATTACTATTTTGATTGTGGAATTCTATGCTGTTATTATGAAAAACTTTTTAGTGAACAAATTTAGTGGACATCCATTAATATTTTTTTCATAGTAGACTAATTAATAAAAGCGAAAAAAATAGTCTAAAAATTCTAATGGATGTAGGTACATTCGTTTATATATATATATATATAT